ATTACTTCTTGCTTTTGTCTCATTTGATTTTTTAAACTACTTTACAAAGCGCATCATTGAAATTGCTCTTTCTTTTAGCTTGGAATCTTTGTTAAGTCTTGTCATTCATTTTTGCTTAAGTGTTGCTTTTGTTTTAGTAAAAGCAAAATGTTGATTTTGGTAAACATTGCTTTTAGAGCTAAAAAATTGGCAGGTTTTTATGGATTCATGAAATAGTGTAAATGTTTTCGTTGATTGCTGTCGAGTTGAACACGGCTCATAGTGACTCTATGAACAAAAGACCTAATGCCTTTCTATAACTATCGTAGTTTTTCCAAGTTCATAGAATTTCCATAGGCATGTTGTTTAGGAAGTGGATGCCACTCCTGCTTCCAAACCTGTCCTACAGCTGGGAGCTCCACCAAACACTGTCCACACTGGTAAACCGTTATGGTATTTGAAACCCCAGCGGCACAAGGCATCACAGCAAACCCAGAGTACCTCAGTACAGCAAATTGACAAGGAGTGGCGTACAAAGAAGAAAAATGTTCTTCCAAAATATAACACTCTTCTTACATAGCTTAAGTGTCGTCAAGTCAAATAAGACTCATAGTGACCCTATGAAGAAATGATCTGAAATGAACTCTGTTCTATAATTAATGTCTTTATGTTTATAGAGTTTCCAGAGGCCTATGGTTTAGAAAGTGGATGCCACTCCTTCCAAACCTGAATCAATCTGGAAGCTCCTCCGATATTGTCCAGGATGGGTAACCATCATGGCATTTGACACAGCTATGGCACATTGGTTGGCATTCAAAATTATTCAGTACAGCAAATGGAAAAACAACTGTTATACCACTTTCAGAGGTTGTGAAATCCTGTCATAGTCTACCTGATTGCATTAGAGATAAGAGTGCTATACCACATTTGTTTTTTGAAATGTTATACAAGTAAAAAATTGGTTTATTGAAAATACCATTTCTTTTAAAAATGGTACTCTTTATTATGCAATAAATACCTTTATGATGCAAAAAAAAAAAGAAAGTACCATTTCTCTAGTAAAAAAAGTCAGTTGGAAAAATTTATAATAGGAAAAGAAAAGATCCTATTGTTATTGTTGCTTGTCTTCAAGTAGAGCCTGGCTCATAGCAACCCTATAAACAAAAGGTCTGAAGTCCCTCTACAGCTGTCAACATTTATCAAAGTTCATAGAGTTTCTGGAGGTATATGATGTTTCGGAAGTGGATGTCACTCCTGCTTTCAGCAGTAATAACTAAATCCTAGGACTACAAAATCCGAAATTCAAGCTGGGCTTAGAAGAGGCCATGGTACAAGGGATACCATTGCTGATATCAAATGGATCCTGGCTGACAGTAGAGAATACCAGAAGAATGTATGTGTTTTATTGACTATGTGAAGACATTTGACTGTGGATCACAACAAACTAGCAGGGACAGAGATGAATGAGAATTCCAGAACATTAAATGTTCATACGAAATCTTTACCTAGTCAAGCTGTTGTCCAGTTGGAACAAAGGAACACTGGATGGTTTAAAATCAGGAAGGTGTGTGTAAGGATTATCATTTTTCCATACTTACTCAGTCTGTATGCTGAGCAAATAATATGTGGATCCAGACTGTATGAAGAAAAAAGATTGATGGCAGAATTGGAAGAAGACTTAGCAACAGCCTGCATTATACAGATGATACAACCTTGCTTGCTGAAGATGAGGAGGTCCTGAAGCATTTGTTGCAGAGGAGTACAGGTTTCAAAATAGATTGCATCTTAACATTAAGAAAACAAAGCTTACCACTGGACCAGTGGGCAACATCATGATAGAAAAAGGATTAAAACTGTCAGTGATTTTGTCCTACTTGGACCCACATTCAGCATCCTTGATTGTGTCCCTTGGTTCCAGCATTCAGGAGATAAGATGTATTGCTTTGGGCAAATACACTGTCAAGGACTTCTTCAAAATATTAAAGAGTAAGGATGTCAGATTGAAGACTAAGGTACACTTGATTGAGGCCATGGTCATTTCAATAACTATGCATCTGAGAATTGGACAGTGAATAAGTATGATGGGGGGGAAGGGAAAATGATGCCTTTGTGTTTAATCTTGGAGAAGGGTATTGACTGTCTCATGGAATGACAGAAGATCAAACAGGTATGTCTTGAAAAAGGTACAAGCACAGTTCTCCTTTGAGGCAAGTATGGAAAAGCTTCATCTTTCATACTTTAGACATGCTGCTAGGAAAGGTTATTCTTTGGAAAAGGGTATCATGCTTGGAAGGGTGAAGGGTAAATGAAAAAAAAGGAAGACTCCGATGAGATGGATTGATATGATGATTGCAGCAATGGACTCAAGTGTATCAGCGATGATGAGGATGGCACAGGTTAGGGCAGAGTTCAGACCTGTTGTTCATAGAATTGATATGAGTCATGCTTGACTCAGGGACACCTAACTGGAACTACTAAGAAGACTACATCTATTAGAGGCTTGTAAGATCTTTATGAAAAAATTTCTGATTTGAATTACAAAATAAAATATTTGAGATGATGACCTTATTATATAAAGGAGTTTAGATTTTATGTAATCATTCTGGTTAGCCTATCAGTGATGGCTGTGGTTAAAGTGTTTGACTAACCAAAAGGTAGATTATTCAAACCCACCAACTGCTCCATGGCAGAAGGATGGACATCTGCTTCTGCAAAGATTTACAACTTTGGGAACCCTCTGAGGCATTTCTGCTCTGTCCTACAGGGTCCCTGTCAGTCAGAATTGACTAGGTTTCACTTTATGGTTTTTGTAAGTTCACTTCATTTCTTTTTCATATTCTTCTCCTAGTTTTGTAGAATTAATTCTAATTTTTTTTATGGGCAAAAAGTCCACAAATCACTAGGATACTCCTGAATAGGAAGAGGAATGAGACAGTTCTATTTCTTTTTTAGGGGAGATTATGTGGTTCTTGCTTTGCTCATTAAGACGGGCTAAGAAGCCCTGGCAGCCTAATTTGTTAAGCATGTAATTGGTAATGAAAGGTTGGTGGCTTAAACCTACCCATGTGCTCTACAGAAGGAACACCTGTTGTTACAGCAAGAATTATAGCCAAGGTGTAGTTCTTCTCTGTCACATGAGCTCACTGTGAGTCAGAATCAGTTCATTGGCACTCCAGAACAAAAGTAGTCCCTGGGTAGTAACACAAATAGTTAAACACTGAAAGATAGCCGGTTGGAATCTGCTTTGTGAAAAAGCCTTGGAGATCTTCTGCTGAAAGATCACAGCCTATTAAGCTAGATCTAAATCTGACCCACAGAGTCTCCACAAGTCAAAATCAGCCAAACGTTATCTGATTTCTAGTAAAGACCCATTGTGAGCACATTTCAATGTATGACTGCTACTCATTTTAATTTTACATTATTTTTTTGGCACAAAGAAAGGATTTCTGAACAATTGTACTAGAGATGATAAGGTTCAGACTAGATTTCCATTAACATTTTCACCTACAATCTCACACAACCCCACATTTAACTATTAGTAAGGAGAAATTTGCACAGAATTGTTTTGTTAACCTTTACACTTTGATTTATTTGATTTGGAATGATCTTTTTTGTGCAATTCTCTGATAATTTTTAAGATTGCTATTTGATGAGGGAAAGTGAATTATAAAAACTCATATGTTATTGCCTGGCTTTAGGTAGGAAGAAGCAGTTGAAATGATGTGTGTGGAATCATTTAGTGAGTAAAGAAAAGGAATATTATAGGAAAAAAATGTGCAGGTATTTTTTAACATTAAAAAAAAATCCAAACTCATTGGCCATCAAGTTGATTCTGTCTCCCAGGAATCCTCTATCAACTTTCCAAGACTGTAAATCTTAACAGAACAGACTGGCACATCTTTTCCCTCTAAATGGCTGGTGGATTCAAATCACTAGCTCACCATTTAACACACTATACTGCTGGGATTCCTTGTAGAATTACACTAAAGGTTAAAAAAGAAAAATATCTTTACGGGAGTCTGCACATTCCAACCACCAACCTTTTTGTTAATGATAAAATAGAATGTGAGAAAATGATGGGTAATCTTTTCCCCAGCAGTTTACTGCCTCTAAAAACCTGCTGCCTCATCAACTATGAATTGGTTCCAATTCAACAGCAAAATAACAATAAAAATATAAAACAATAGGACTCTTCCTCCCCCCCCAAACAATAGAACTCTTAATACCTCACATTTCTGAAGTGATTGTCATCATAATCTATATATTTAAAAGGTGATATGATGCCATATTGATAATGCGTTCTCAACTTTATTTATAATGCTTTTTAGCAGTAAATGCCCTTCTTTGGTAATATTCAAGATTAACCATTAATCTATACCATCTCTACTTTAGACCTGCTTCACATTTGACACATTCAGTATGCTTCGTATATAAGTGAGAATAAGGATAAAACAAAACACACCAAAAAACCTTTGTAAACATTAAGAATTCTGTGTGTATTTATACATTATTTTTAAAAACCTAAACCACAAAGTTATGTAGATTTTAGAAGTAGAAGAAAACATAAAATTTAAATTTTTAAGTGTCATCTTTTTATGATAGCCAGTATCTATTAAAAACATATTGCTAATACAATAGGGGTCACTTTTTAAACTTTGTGTTATATTTAAAGGAACTCTGTGAAAAGAGTGTTTCTGTATTATACATAAGAAAATGTATGGGTAAGGAGGTGAAATAGGTTGCCAAAGATAGCAGTTAGTCTTTAATAGCAAAATTCATTATATTTTAAATTGTCTTGTACTGCTGTTTAAAGATGATAAAATTGAAGTCACAAAAGTTATATTGTTGTTAGGTGCTATCAAGTTGACTGTGACTTTAAGCCACCCTGTGAATGACAGATCTGAACCTTGCCCTACCCTGTACCATTCTTATAGTAGTATAATAAACTGAGGACATGTGCTATCCTGTAAAGTTCCACTTTTTTTTCCCTGCTATTTATAAAGTACATTTTGTTTCCTTAGTATAATGCTTCATCTCAGCAGCAGAGAGAAATAATTAAAAGCAGGAGCCTGGACAGACGGCTGCAAGAACCAATAGTATTAACAAAATGGAGGCACAGCACAATTGTATTAGACACAAATGATAAGGTAGGACTTTTAAAAACATTTGTTGAGATTTTGCAAAATTCTTTTGTATTATATTTTATAGTTAATTGTAACCACTTGTATTAATACTCCACATTCTCTTTCTTATAGTATTTCTGTTAATGAATATAATTAGTTCTCTGCTAAAATATTTATATTTAAACCAGTTCCTTTGTTATGTAAATATATGCTGAACTATAACTGTATTATCTCTTTACCTATGAGTAGAATCTAGGACCTTTGTGATAATCTTTTTATTGTATTTAGCATCTTATTGTCAAAGAGAAGACTTTAAAGTTTTTAATTTTTTTCCTTTATAGTGTACTAATCTGGAAAAATAATATATACATTGATACATTTTAACTTAGTATATGATCTTTTTTACCTTCTTACAGTATTTTTTACCTTCCTTCTGCCCCCCTTCTTCCTATTTAAAAGTTTCATTTTTGTTAATCTTTTGTATTAAGTCTCTGGAAGGTTTTGTAGTTATTTAATTAGTTTTCACCATTTCAGAGAAGATTGGAATACTTGCTCTTTTCCCCCAAATTCACTGTAAGCCACTTACAATAATGATAATAAAAAGACAAGTAAATGGCTCTTTGAAAGAAAATATACTCTTATCAATTGGAGAAGAAAAAAGTTGTCCGCTTAAATGAGAGAGATACATTTTGATGCAAATAGCAATATGGAAAGGCCATGGCTATTAACATTTGTGTTAGTTATGTTTTTATAGTGTGGCTTCATGTGTAAGATGAGGTGGGAAATTAGTATAAATATGCAGAATAAGAGGTCTTCTAAAAATGCATAAATGTGGTAACACTCTAAAACAAACTAAGTTATTTGAAGGATGTTTGTCATGAAAAACTTTTTCACTAATGTTGGTTTTGTCTTCCAGTATAATTCACAGGTATCATACATTTTTATGTTTCAGTAAAAACAAAATGAACTGTTTTAAGACATATTTCTCTAAATGCGAATACTTTCAAGCTTATCTATTTTATCTGAATTTATCAGTCAGTACAAACATATTTAAGACTGCAAGTGACTATAAAGTTAGTCTTTGTTGAATTAAAATACAGACTTTTGTGACACTTTATTAATCATATATATATACAATTTATAAGATAGGCCAATCATTAAATAATAAAAGTAGTATACCAGTTTCTAGTTTCTGTTATTTAAGAATGTTGTGCAGTTGAATGCAGAGCACACAAAAAAAGAAAGTGCAACTGAAGATCATATTTTGTAAGGTTCCTTGAAATTTTTAGGAGAAAAATTCACTTAATATCTGAAACCAAATTATAGTTCAGTATATAGAAAGCTGCTCAGCACTATAGATAGTGTTCTCAGGCAAAAATTATTGAAGAAATACCATTGACTTAAGTATCAGGAAGAGGAAGGATGCCAGGTTTGATGATGTGGATTTAAAATTTCTTACTCCTTCTTGATCTCTCTTAAAACTTGTTCTGAGTTTGTTGCTCAGAATAATTCTTAGTGCCTGTTTTTGGTCCAGTTATCCCAAAATTGTGAGAATATAATTTTCTTGAGACCACAGATGCACTTATTTTGCTAGAAATATCTTTTCCCCTGAGATTTCTCTTTGCATTTTAATTCTTAGATATTTTGTTTACTAGGTAAAATTTACCATTTATTACTATACTTTGTTAAAAAAGGATATCTGTAGTCTTTGAAGTTGTAAAAGAAGGTCTATGTCAGAATTAACCAGCTGAGTAATATATGGTAAGGGGCAAAGTTTGTATAATGTGAAATTTAGTCAAGTAAATGTAGTAATGTATATAGAATATTAAGATGGAATACATTTTAATTTCATTGTCATATCCTTTGAGGACATAGATCTGTGTTTGTCTGTATATGAAGCTCATCTGTCTGTTTATGCTTGTTTATGGTTTTTACAAAAATAGATACATTTATATGTTCAAATATTTTTATATAAGCATATAAATGTAAGATTATTTATGGTAATTATTGTTATATACAAATTATATACCACTTGATATATCCATTTTCCTACAGGATTGATAATGCTATGAAAGGTAGATCATCATTTTATTAAATTATTTCTCCTTTGTGAAACATCCTATCTTTACATTTTTTTCTTCAGACTAATGTTAGTTGAACCTTCTTTTGGCATTGAAAAGATTTTAAAAAGAAGCATTGAAACTGTCAGAAATGAGGCTAGACGAACTTTTGAGACCTGGTAGTGCTAAACAAAAGGTCGGCAGTTTGAAACCACCAGCCTCTCCATGGGGGAAAGAACTGGCGATCTGCACCCTTAACACATTGCAACACACTTTTAAATTGACGACCATGCTTAGAAACACATTTGCCTGTCATTTACTGCAACTTAAACTTGTTAAACTTGTTAAAGTTTTTACAGCCTAGTTTATAATTCCATTGGGCTGTTCTGCTCTGTCCAGTAGGGTCGTTACGAATTGGAATTGAATTGATAGTACCCAGCAACAGCTGAGATTTGGTCATTCTTTTTTTTGTTTTGTTTTGTTTTAAAAAACCCCTATTTCTTACATGATTTTAATATTTATTAATAATGTTGGCCTTGGATATTTTATTTTTGTGCCCCTTATAAGGATTGTCCTTATAAACTTATAGTACTAGCTGGAATTTCATAAATAGTATGGAATATAAAACTGAAGTCTTTTTCAGGTGAATGAGTTTTGAGTTGAAGCTTTTGGCATTGCTATTTCAAAGGAATTCCCAGGTTTATTTACTGTGCTTTCTGATAGAGGTAATTATAAATGGAATAAAATATTTCATATTTCAAAACTTTTATAACATTTGCATTTTTCAAATTTGTATCTTTTTAGTTTTGAAATGGTGAAAGAAAAATAATAAAGAAAAAAGTTTTAGCTTCCCTATAATAAACTCTCTTACCTTGAGTAGAGGGAGAAATAGAGTTAACAAAATAGAGTAACATTTTGATTACTTATTTCTTGTAGGAATCTCCATCTGCCTCAAAACCCTGCTTTCCTGAAAATGAGTCTCCTCCCTCTTCACCAAAGCACCAAGATACAGTTAGTATAATAGAAACATACAGTAAAATACAGTCCAGTTATTTTAATGTGACTTTAGTGATACTAAGTTGTGCAGCCAACTCAGAGGCATGCAGTTGGAATCCACCAGCTGCTCTGTGGGAAAAAGTTTGTTAGTCTCCTCCTGTGCAATTTACTGCTTCTGAAAACTCACTGTAGGGTCAGCTATGAGTTGGTTACATAGTAACACTGTAATGTTTAAATATTTCTTGGGCTATTTTATTAAAGTTCTTATTTTCTTTTTCAAAAATAACACAGTAAGTTTAAATTAAGAATAAGACTTACTGTTTTAAAAGCCCCCTTTTTTGCAAAGTAAGGAACCCTGGTGGTATAGTGCAATAACATGTCTGTGTGTTAACTGAAAGGTCAGTAGTTCAAACTCACTAGCCTCCTGGTGGGAGAAAAAATGGATAGTCTTCTCCCAGGAATTACAATTTTAGGAGTCCTGTAGGGGGTTACTGTGAGTTGGGCATGACTCAGTGGCAGTGAGTTTAGTTTTTGGCTTCTACTTACTAAAGTATTTTAATATAATTAATTTGTTTAGGAGTCCTGTAGGGGGGGGTTACTGTGAGTTGGGCATGACTCAATGGCAGTGAGTTTAGTTTTTGGCTTCTGCTAATTTGTATGCCTTACTTATAAACTGATGAAGTTATATTTCATTTTAAAGATAAATATAAAAAAAAATTTCTAGAGAATACTATCAAATTGTACTTTAGTCATTTTCCCTCAGGCCAGCAGTCCAAAGGTAAGAAGAGGTGGCTACTTCCTCCTTAATGAGCATAGACATCATTTTTCCTGTATGCTTTAAAATCTTTAAGTTTCTCTACACGGAGATGGATTAATACAGTAATTGGGGCAATGGAGGTCGGTGTGTTGAAGTTAGTGAGACTTGCTTGGGACAGGAAAGGGTTCAGAGCCGCCGTACATAGAGTCGCTATACATCGTAGGTGACTCAATGGCTCCTAACAGTAACATACTGGGACTGGTTTGGAAGCAGGAGTGGCATCCACTTCCTAAATAACTTGCCTCCGGAAACTGAATGAACTTTGATAAATGTCGATAGCTATAGAGCGGCTTCAAGGCCTTTTGTTCACAGGGTCGCTATGCTACCTGTGGTGCTCAAAGGCAATCAACAACAACACACTGAAAAGCTCCAAATGTCTTTTCTTCAAACATCTGTCTTAACTTTGATGAAAAGTTTCCCAGCTTCTGTAATTTGAAGTCCCTCCCAGCCTTTCCTGTAAATTTCTAATTCTTGCTATAACGGCTTAAAAAAAAAAAAAAAAAGCCTTAGATAGCATTCCTTTTTTTAAAGAATGAAGAGAAAAGTTTTTGTGCAGACTACAAGACTGCATGCTCCGGCTGTTGACTGCTCATTTCCTTCAAGCACATGCCCCTTCTTTTAGTTCCTCAAAAGAGCTTTGCCTTTGTTTGCTCTGCCCAAAGAAGCATTTTCTCTCTCACATCTTCACCTGGTTATCCTTGTTAGTCCTATCTAAAATCATTCTCTTTTCACACAGATACGCAACTTTTTCTCTTCCTGAAGTTTCCTCTTCCATCCCTTCTCTGGAGACTTGCACTCTTTACCTCTTCATTTCCTTCCTCTCCCCTCAATACCTTACTTCCCCCCCATTCTCCTCTTTCATCCTTGCTTAGTTTCCACCTACTCTTTCCTCTTATACCCACTTAAAAAGATACTCTCTCTGTTTTGACTTAAAATCTGGTTGACAATAAGGCTTAGTGATATAGGATTAAGAAAGCCGCAGATAAAAGTGAAAGCATTATTGTACCAAGTGTTAGCTATCCATACCTTAAATATCGCCGTAAATGTCCTCCTCAGTGTCTTCTAATCAAATCAGATTTCAAACTCCATCCTTTTATGTAAGTTGTAAACATGCAACTTTTTCTTACACTTTTTTGTCAATTTTCAATACATTAATAGTTGCTTTTCTAAGTCCTTTTACATCCTTTATATATATATATATCAGTAATTATGACCAGAATATTAATTGAGTAGGCTTTTGTGGCCTGATGTAAAATTTTAATCCCTGTTTATCACTATGTAAAGTTCTCAGATGATTCAGTGGTCAGACTGAGGGACTCAAACCTGGCAGTGATTATGAGGATGTTCAGGGTTGGGCAGTGTCTCATTATGTTAAAGGTGATAGGAGTTAGCGCTGGCTTGATGGAAGCCAACAGCAATTATTGACTACTTAATAAAGTTTTAGATATATAATTTGGAAATTTGAACTTTGCAATGTATGTTTAATTGTTCTTATTTGTTATGTGCCATCGAGTCACCTGCGACTCAAAGTGATCCTGTGTTCAACAGCCCTAAACCCTGCTCCCTCCTGTGCCAATCTCACTATCTCTGACACACCTGCCTCCATTACCCCAGTTATTAAATCAGTCCATCTCATCGAGGGTCTTCCTCTCCTGTGCTGTCCCACCACTCTCCCAAGCATGACATCCCTCTCCAAGGACTGATCCCGCCTTGCAACATGTCCAAAGTATATCAGACGAAGCTTCAGAATCCTTGCCTCCAAGGAACAGCCTGGCTTCACCCTCTTAAAGATGAACCTGTTTGTTCTCTTAGCAGTCCATTAGGATGTTAAAATGCATTATTGGTTTTAAGATAAAAAATTAGAAACACATCTCTTCCTTTTTTGCCATTGGATATATATTGCCCGTTCAACATTTAGTGATACCATTTGCACTACTCATGTTTTACAACCATTTCCATAATTATTGTCAGATTTCTCATCACCATAAGCAGCAGATCACTGCCTAAAGGCCTTTTAAAAATGGGATTTTTAAGCAGACCAGTGGCCATTGAAGTTACAATCCACTAAGGAATTTGTAACAAATTATCTGCCCCCAAAAAACCTAAATGACTTTTAGCTTCTAGTATTTTTATAGAAAAGGATTCTTTTTCTGAAATAATTTTGTGGTAGAAGTCCTATAGTATAAAATTAATTCTTTTAAACTGTACAATTGAAGGCAATTAGTGCCTTCATGGCGTGATGCAGCCATCACTTCTAGCTCTAGTTCTTAGCTCTTCTAGTTCAAAGAAATCATCATTACCTGAAGAGCAAACCCTGGTATCTCTGGTACTTATTTTACATATTTCTTTACCCTAGTTTTGTGTGTGTGTGGTGGGTTTTTTTTTTGTTCTGTTTTTTCTTTTTTTGTCTTTTTTTTTTTTTTATCATGGACATTATATAAGTTTACCTGTTCTGTATAAAAAGAATTTTAATTATTATATTATTATATAATTAGAACATGATTAATTGATAATGATTTTGATCAGTTTTACTGATTTTGAATTTATTGATTTGGGTATATAGTAGTTTGGCTAAATTGAAAATGTTGATTTTATTAAATAATAAAAGCAAGCTTGATTAGAAACTCTGTTCTGTTAAGTGATTATGAAACTGGCATTTTCCTCCCAGATTACTTACTTAACTAGGATTGAACTTCTTTTTAAAAATGATGTAATTATTTTGCTCAAACTTCACTGCAGTGTTCTTTTTTTCTTTGTTTTACTTAGCTAGTCCTTTCTATTGCATACTTTACTGCTTACTTTTAGTATAAAGTTTCTTTTGGAGTGTCAAAATATATTTAGACTAAGACATTTTCATATCTGAATTAGGCCATTTTTATGAGACTCAGAATTTTTATGAACCTATTTTTGTAAGCAACACATTAAAAATTGGTTAATTTTTAATCAGATTAAATGGACTGTGTACACCAGGTAGTATGAAGTAAAAATCAATTTTAATCTTTTTCTCACTTCTTGCACTTGTGTTATCTGTCTACCAATATCTGTTGCCTTTAAGTGAACCCATGTATGCCAGGTTAGAATTGTGCACCTTAGGGTTTTCACTGGCTAAAGTTTTAAAAAAGTAGATCTCCAGGCCTTTTCCCCCCAAAGTGCTTCTGGGTAGACTCAAGTTTTTGGTTATCTGCTGCATGCATTAATCATTTGAACCGCCAGAGGCTCCTTCAACTCTATGTTCAGATCTAGATTACCCAGCTGCCTCTGCAGCACGTTTATGCCAGAATGAAAAGCATAGAGGTTTAAAGCACAAAATTGGTTGTTGGTTTGTTTTTTGTTTTTTTTTTTTTTCTGATCCCAACCTTTTTTATTTCTTACATGTGACAGTATTTCTAACTCATTGGTTAATTTATTCAACAAGTATGTGTGCAGCACAAATTGCAAGCTAGAAGCAATACCAGGCACTGGTTTTATTGATGGACATAGCAGATGTGGTCTAATGGAGTTGATAGTGGAGAAATAATTCCTTTGTAATCGTGCTTTCCAGTAAGTGCATGAAGGCAAGAAACTAGTGAAGTAATAGAGAATACTTAGAATCATCTGGGATAGCTTTCTAAAAAAAAAAAAAATTGGCATTTCAGCCGAGTAATCACCTACCAATTTGGCAAACTTGAGAGTTCTCCCACAAATCTTCACTCTTTTTTTTATTCCAAATCTTCACTCTTACTCTCACATCTCGTCCTTATTACATTGCATACTAATTGTTTCCATGTTTGAACTTGGCGATATGGTGGATTTTGTTTTTATTTCTTATTTAAGGTAGAGTACTTAGTTTTCTTTTACCATTAGTGCTTGCATCTTGATCTCTGTTGGGATTTGACCCTTTCTCTGAATATGCACAATTTCTACTGGTTTTAGGCCATTCATTGGCTTAGACTTTATTATGCTTGGGCTGTCTGTCTCTAGAGAGCTGTGGTGGCTTAGTGGTAAGGGATTGTGCTGACAATGCAAAGGTACACATTTCAAAAACGCCAGCACACTTCTCTCCCCTCAATAACCAATGCCCAGCCACTTACATTAATGATGTTACTTAGTTCCCACAGGGTTGAAAGTATCTCTCTCTGTTTCTGGCAGGGGTAGAAAATGGAAAATGGTCTTTAATAACTTGTACATAGTCATAGTTACATGATTTTTTTAAAAAAAATTTTAATTGTGTGGTTTTTAATAGTGGCATGAGTGAGTTCTTAAAATAGGCATCAGATTTGCATATAAGAAGCCTGACCTATGTTTTAGGAATATATTGCAGTAAAATTCATTTGTATATTGCTCAAATTACCTAGTTTCTTTTAAAGTATGGATGAGCACTAGAATTTGTCAACTTTGGTTTTGAGTTTTTTAAACATTGTCATTTAGATATTTGGAAATATATTATTTCCCCCCTCCCATTTAAGAAAGATTTAGTTTTTTAAAAAAATACATTGAAGAAACAGTTAAGTAGTCAAAAAATTTGTGAATTGGGGTTTTGTGTTTGTGTATATGTGTATGTCTGTGTATATGTACACCTGTGTATGTATGTGTATTTCAGTTGAAGAGACATTTACTGTATTTTATGTTCATACAGTGCTTACTTTTTTGATGTTTATTTATAAGCACCAACTAAGTTAAACACATTTGAATATAGAACATTAAATTCAGGGATAAAGTACTCCTTTAGATTAATCTGGAAGAATTTTAAGAAAACATTACAATAGCTTTTACATGAGTATTTGATGATAACTCTTATTACTATTTCTAATATCACTTGGCTAATAAATCCGGATTGTCCAGAGCCCAGGTCACCATTGACAATAGATTTAATTAGACAAATATTGCATTTTCTGTGTCACCATAAGGCCGGTTCAGAAAACAATGCCAGTTAACTTTGAGTAATTATTAAACTCAGTTACTGTATTAGTCTTACCTAGTTGTTTTTACAGTGGGTTAGTATATAAGGACAGCCCAGGAGAGGAAAATCCCAGATAAGATGGATTGATACAGTAACTTGGGACAGTGGAGATAGGTATGTCAGAGTCAGTGAGACTAACTCAGGACAGGGCAGGCTTCAGAGCTGCTGTATGTAGGGTTGCTATGAGTCACAGGCCAGTCAATGATACATAACAACAACATATTATTATAAAAGAGCAGCAACTATAATTCTCTTTTGTATTTTTTATCATCGCATTGTGTCACTTTGAAGCAGAACTCAAATCTCCATTGCTAACATGTAGCATTCATTTAGAAATCAGATTTGTTAACAATGCTTACAAACTGCTACGACTTAAGTAGTAGATGGTGCGTTTAATTACAAAATTATTGAAAATAACTTTAAAAACATTATAAAATTATATTCTTAACATACTCTAAAACTAATTTTACATGCTGACTAATCTTTGCTTTTAAGCTAATTTTTAGAGTACCAGATGGTTTTGATTTTGTCATATGTAAAAACTTCATTGTCTCTATAAATGATGTATAAAAAAACCTATTCTATTCCATAGGGCCAAGAAAAATATGGACTATTAAATGTCACAAAAATTACTGACAATGGGAAAAAGGTTCGGTGAGTACACCAATTATTACTATTCTTCATCTGATTAAAATAAATATAAATTACCTTGGAGAGGGACATCATGCTTGGTAGGGTGGAGGGACTGCGCAGGAGAGGAAGGCCCTCCATGAGGTGGATTGATTCAGTGACTGGGATAATCGGGATGGGAGTGTCAGAGACGGTGCGACTGGCGCAGGACAGAGCGGAGTTTGGGCTGTTGTACATAGGGTCGCTATGAGTCGCAGGCGACTCGACGGCACATAACAACAACAATTATATTCTAGTAGAAACTAAAGATTCATCAACATTTCTATTTATTTTCTGATATAATGTATATAAATTTGTCATGGAGTCTCAAAATTATGTAATAATTTAATACTAATTAAATTTGGGAGTGAGGGAAATCACGGGGTTGCAGAGTTTAGTGAATGGTGGGAGGAGACAGGAAAAAAACCCAACAATGTACGTGAAGAAACAATTAAAAAAAGACTAAAAAGTAATATTCAGTTAAGGCAGAAAAGGAAATATTAACTTTCTTTTAAAATTATTTTGTCCTTTATAAAAATAGATTGTAAATGTATATGGTAAAAAAAGGTACAGAAAGCAGTCTATTTGTAAAAAGAGAAAGGGGATTGTGGAGATGACCAAACCTGACCTCTGTTAATTCCAGAAGGGGGAACTGCCCCCATTAGCAGCATCCACAGCACAAAACCAATTCCTGTGTGGTCAACATATCCCCTATGCTTCTGCACCTCCTATTAGTTGCATTAGCAATCCTATTGCCTTACTGGGCCAGAAATCCATTGCAATAACCACACATACTTCTCAGAAATATACAGTCAAGGGGTTTATTCTGTTTATTGAATTTACATGACTCATAGCTGACTCACTAGAGGGTCAGCTGTGTGTTGGTTCTGACCGAAGGTGTTCAACAAGGAAATTGTTGTTTTTATTGTTTTGTGCTGTTGAGTCACCTGCAACTCATAGTGACCCTAAGTACAACAGCCCTAAACCATGCTCTATCCTGTGCCAATCTTACTGTATCTGACACACCTGTCCCCATTACCACAGTCACTGACTCAGTCCACCTCATTGAGGGTCTTCCTCTCCTGCGCTGTCCCTCCACTCTCCTAAGCATGAGGTCCCTCTTCAAGGACTGGTCCTACCTTGCAACATGATCAAAGTATATCAGACGAAGCTTCATAGTCCTTGCCTCCAAGGAGCAGTCTGGCTTCACTCTCTCCGGAATGAACTTGTTTGTTCTCCTAGCAGCCCATGGTATATTTAGTACTCTTCTCCAGCACCACAGCTCAAAGGCATTAATTCTCCTCCTATTATTCCTAGTCATTGTCCAGCTTTCTAATGTATAGCAAGTAATTGCAAAGACCATGGCCTGTATCAGGCACATTCCTCCTCAGTACTTTAATCTTAAGGAAATTAGCAGGCTACAATTCAGATTGGCAGCTGGATACAGTTTCTTATTTAGGGCAGTTTCTAAAGTATTCTTGCAGGTCTGTCAGCCTTCAACTTTATGGCTTTACAGTGTTAACAAACTCTGTCCAGTTAAGACAGTCCTCCAGCAAGCTTGAATGAAGTCCTCTGGCTCTGATTCCGTGGGTGGCATTTCCTTGTCAGCTCTTTCTTATGTCAAGTCTCTGATTCTCCACCGTGTCTGCTGATGTCTCCTGTAAGCCCAGGTCTGAGTGGCACAGTAATCTCTGACACCAAAGGATTTGTGCTATATTTTCTCTTTTATTCTTGCTGATAGTGAGATTCTCAAGTTTTTGCTCAATGTAAACCTAATAGAATGGTGGAACTTGCAAAATCTCTGCTGGATAGGTATTTGCACATACCTGCATAACCATGTGGCAAAGTCAAAGTAGAGGCCTACGAAAGTCATTTTGAATAGACTACTTCACATACTTGATCAGTTCTTCTCCTGAGAGGCAACCACTATCACGTCTCTTTAGATCTAGTGTTTTCCTCTAGATATCTTATTTGTGTATGTATACACACCTGTACAAATGTATATGTATATATGTTTACGTTTGTATGTTTATCTCCTGTATAAGAAATTGTATATGATTGTATTGCTGTCTG